TTGATATGTCGACAGTAAAAACATAGGGCTCCCCAATAAAGTCCTCAGTGTAAGGATGTTGTGAAGTCACCTAAAGTAAATCCTATGAGTTTTAATTCASTAATAGTGTTGATTGTGTTGGGTTTTCTATTGTGGCTAACAAACTCAACACTTTTCATGGGGCTAATATAGGTCTGTTAGTCTGAATTATAGACACTGAAATAATGATACTTATATACTTATGATTTCGGCAGAAACATATTACATAAAATATACAATTCAATTATCTATACTTACTGMTCTAAAAGTGGGCTTGCCCATGAAGAATTCATTATTGTTTCTGTTGTGGGTTGGATCAAACTACATGAATTCCATAAATGTCAGCAACCAATTAATGAAGTATATGTATATGACATACACAATAATATTTACAATTATAAAGGTGCAACTGTTTGGTACCTTTGCATTTAGGAAGATACAGCCATGAGCAATGGCTTCCAGTGGAGCAGGYCCCTCATAAGGAAAACCAAGTCCAATAAAAACCTTTGCTTTCTCAAGCAGTGTTTGCAAATCTAGTTGTTTAAGTAAGCCATGGTTTACCACATACTTCGGTATGTATTTTTTGCTCTAGAGAAAAAGAAAGACTTAATGAAAGTATTGAGTTGAAATTTAAATAAAACAACTAAATTAAAATCCATTGAATATATTAATGATACTGTAAGAATAACATTGAGCTCTTTAGTCAGTTTTTAAAATTTCATTTAGTAGGAAGTATTAGTTTTAAACTGTTTGGAGTATAAGCCAGTTCATTGTATAGTAACATTAAAAAAACCTCAGGAATTTTTCAATTAAAATTATACTTACGGCTTCGCTATTTGGATCATAATCTCCAAGTGTAGCATGAATTTCAAAGTACTCACTCAAAACATCTAAATACTCTCTTTTCCCCTAAAGCACAATAAGTCTGAATCTCAGTTGAAAGTGATATTCACAACATATATAAATAACAGGGCTGTAGCCAGAGCAAACAGATAACCAAGGCAAGGGACTGCCGAGGGCAGGAGAAACTTAGGGAAGTTCGGGACGTTCTCAAAAAAATTTGAAATTCAGTCTCTCAAAAATGTGTTTTGCAGCGTTTTGTGGGCCTCTTGGTAACTCTTTATTGAACAGATTTAACCAAAATTTATCATGCAATATTTATGAAACAATGAAGCTATACGTACAAAATTAATATTGTCTTTAATTTTTTTTGCACAAAATCAGTGTTACGAAATTGGCTCTGAGAGGCTAAGATGATATCAGTGATGAAAAACAAAAAGCATTTAGCAAAATTTTACAGAGGCGAGTGCCTTGGYTGGCCTCTTACTAGCTACGGACCTGAATAATAATTTAGACACACTAACCAAAAACAGTTTAATTAAGAAAAAATCAGGAATATACATAAAGGGAGAGTTGAAAACACTGACCCCCGGTCCGCGGACCCCTCCATGGACCACCTTCACGGACCACCAATGAAAACATTGCAAATGCCAAATAATAGATTTGACAAGAATTATTTTGCATTTGCTCATCCAATAAAGGGTGTTATGCATGCTAGTCAATTGAAACGCTCGCTTCCCAACCCCCGGGAAAAACCGCGAATTTAATGATTGAGTGGCGTTGAAATAAGACGTTTACCCCAGGCACATTCATTGGTAAAATCCCCGCTAGACTTGTCCCGCTATTTTGGTCTAGTAGTAAATAACAAAACAAACACCTTTCAGTCAATTTTTTTACTACATTGAGGCTATGGACTGTGTAATAAGTTTCTTTTAAAAAATTTTCATACAAGGAAAAATAAACAAATACAAAACAAGGTTGAATACCTATGCTTTCAGAGTATTTCTCAAGATTGGTCGACCTCTACGGTTTCCAGGCTCATAAATGTCCAAATGAGATTTAAAATCCCTCCCCGCTTCAAAAACAATTCATCAAAATCCAGACCCCCGGCCAATCCTGCTGATAAAAGCATGTCACTATTTAATACTCCGCTAGTTCTGGGAGTTGGGGACGGGGTTTTCAATTGACTTGTGCATTAAGTTAATGATTTTACCTTTGTCACGTCAGTCCTCTACACGTTATATTTTCATTTGATTTTTTT